AAAGGGATCCGTGATAAGTAAACTTGAGTAATGAACGCGGAAAAGAAACTAAATTGAAAAAGGGTGGGATTTATGAAGCAAGGTGCCCCAAGTTGGATTTCACAGAAATGAACCATTTTTAAAAACACCTAAAATAAGCCAAAAAAGATCATGAATAGACACTAATATGTGAGGAAGGTACAAATCATTAGAAAAATTAACTCGTGATAAAAAAAGTGTGAAAAAATCACTTACTTCCTTCTTCACGTAGTCCGTCACTATTTCGCGAACTTCTGTGCTTTCTAATAACTGGCCTTTAGAGAAATTGCCTCGACTTCGAAGCACGGGCAAAACTGCATCTGTTACCTAGGATGAATATGGTAAATAATCAATAAAATAAAAATTAATCAGTGCAACTTACAGAATAATATTCATGAATCTTTGGCCCACATCTCACCGATTCTTCCACTTCATCTTTGATGATTTCGTCAGTTACGGTAAAGGATCGCAATGCAGGATGGCTCTTGTTGACCTAATTATGCTCTTTTTGAACAACAAATTTCAAAATGCTATTGCAACAACCTCTTCTATCATATCCGCTCCTTTTCCAACTTTTTTGATTTGCACAATTGGACCATCTTCACTTTTATTCACCTACAGCAAACACTTGATAGTAGCACAAGACAGAGAAATAAGGAAGAAAAAAACATTAGATAATGTAAATGACATACCTCCTCGAGAAAAACCGTAAACTTCTTGTATTTTGTTTTCCTCATATCTAATCTCCTTGTTTTGGGTACACAAGCTAGCAAACATTGTGCGTAAAACTAAAATATTTCAAATAAAACACATTACCAGACATTTGCACAAAACTTAAGCAAACTAATTTGAATTCACCAAAAAGATGCATGAAAAACATCAGACCTGTCCTACATCAATCGGAACTTTCTCTAATCTAAACTTCAAACCAGCCAGGAAACAACGATAGAGCTGAAAAGAGCCAAGATGACAAGTGCGTTTTTATGCAGAGACTGATTCGAACTCACCAGGTCATCCATAGATTCTTCTGGTAGCTGCTCCTCATTGTTATCTCCAGCGCTCTTTTGATTTACTTGCTGATCACAAGAAGTTTCAGGAGCATCTTAATCAT